TATAAGAATTTAGTAGTAGATAAGGACACTAAGGAACATGTATATCTTCTATAATAACTCAATCAAAATGCAATTATCTCCAAGAAAATTCATGATTTTTGGAAGAAATTTTTTAACAAATGATAAAATCAGATAAACTTTAGACTCTGAATCCTCAGTTCACATATTCATATTCTTGGATAGTCACCATAAATCTGGCTCGCTCCATTTTCTCCCTTTTTTTACACCCTGCCCTTCTTTTATGCGCATCTGCCTAATGTGTTGAAGTGGCTCGTGATGAGAGTCTTACGATTAGAATATTTCCAAGGAGCCTTATTGATCAAGCTTTCTATGAAGTTCCATCAGTTTTCACACAAAATATAAGATGTCAAATGACTTAAAACGTATCTTTGTAATTTTAAGGTTGATGCAGCAAAAAGCATAAACAACGGAAAGAGCATAGATTCAAGCTTATGTTAGGTCCAAACGTAAGCAATGAGAAGAACAAATACTTCGGGACTTGACATGGCTCGTTCTTGGTGAATTCGAATGGCCTACTGGCTTTAATTCTTTTTTTTTTTTTTTTAATTCCTCAAGTATTATCTGTTAGTAAGCTTGTTCAGGCCACCACCACGATCTGGATGGGCCATTGAGCCTTACAGTTGTGCTTAGCATGACATCAGGGATGGAGTGGCCTATCCAGCTCAATGGCGAATCCAGGAATTTAGTCGAGCACAAGCAGATGAACACGGGCGACCGTCCAATATTAGGAAAAAAAAAAATCTTTCCGGCACGGGCAGCTGCTGTGGCTCACCGAGTGCTGGCTCTGTCCCCGCCTATGCTATGAACCATGACGAGCTATGCATTGTTTATATCCGTATCCTGTCTCGTACTTGAGATCTGGGCTAGGGGGATAGAAATTTGAGGACATCAGGCGTAGACTCTTGACCTGTTTGTATTTATGTAATCATCCAAAGTATATAGACAAATGTAACAGAATAAACAAAATTCCATATCAAGATGTGGAAATAATATGGGTATACAAGAACTCATTCCATGTATCAGGTACTCCGGGAAGGCACCAGTGAAGACAATCAGCATATGTAGCTGGGTCGGCCTTCTGCTCCGGTGTGAGTAATTTGCCTTGTCGAATGGAATACACCGATGTATGTGCATCTTTTCGGTACTCTGATAGAGTCGTAATGTCAAGCAATTTGACTGGAATTTTTGTTGTCTTGATTACTCTCGCCACAACATCAAGGAGTCGACGGTCTGTGCCCATGTCCAATACCATGGACATGTTCGAAATTGGAGTTGTCTCCCCAGCACAGGCTATCCCATCCGGCTCGTTCCAAATGGAGCTCCTATCACATTAACATTAAGAAAATATATCTCAATAAAATTGAAATCGACTGTAGTGAAAATTAAACGTCAAAACATGAGGATTTCACAAGAGTTACTCTTGATGCACCGGTGACATTCCGGTGAAGAAGACTGACGTGCGATTAAGGTTAACATTTTGTTGTAGCCATTCAGCCCATGTTCTCAGAACTCTTTCATATGCTGTGGATCGTTCAATTTCATCATATTTCACAGACCCTTCATCAAATGTCCCTTGCCTGTTCCAATCGACACTTTAGCATGTTTGATTGGAGTAAATTTCATTTGAGCTAACTATAATTTAAGTCTAATGTCAATCACGTAACGCATTTATCAACATTTTTCAATAGGGTAACTGGATTTTAATTGACGCAGTACACTTTAATTTGATTTCTATTAAAGTACCACGTCAAATTTCAATACAAAAATTGATAACATGACAATTAATAAACGAAAGTGCACGTGTAGCCATTAGTTGATGATGTGACATAAGTGCAATTTCAGTGAAGTAAATGACAATCATTTTTTTTAACATCCCCGTCATTGATTTCTTTTAATCCAAGTGACACAGTTGGACAAAGTTATACAATAGAAACAAATTAAAGTATAGTTATCCGATTGAACAAAATAGAAGTACAATTAAATGATTGACACTAGAATAAAGCGTAGTTACCAGGAATCCAGCATAAGCGTCTAATTAACGTTTATTTCTTGTGCGAAAGTTAAGAGTATACTATGAATAACTCGTAATGTTGTGTCTATTTCGAGATGATATACTTACAGAACTTTCATTGTGGGACTGTTCATCCACCATATGTAGGAATTGAAGACAAGAAAATCTGCATGTTGCCAATGAATTCCATGCTTAGAAATGGATTCAGGCATGATTATTCGTTTTGAAATGCTGTGATTTCTTGGATCATCTGAATTTGATTCCACTAGAAATGGTGACCAGTAAAATTCTACTGTGGCATTATAATCCTGTAATGCATATTAAACCAGTAAATGATTAAATAATAATTCTACATAGCAATATTGATATTTTACATCAGCCTACTACCACCCTAGTGACTGAGTCCCATCCACCTAGATTAATGCTAAGCATATGTGATTCTATGTACATTATTCAAGAGTAAATAAAAAGGTAAAAATGAAGAGTTTATAGGTCAAAGGAATATAATTAAGAGTCGCCCTACATGAACGGGGCGACGTGACGCCCCCTGTTTAAAAAGCGGAAAATTACATAGCATTTTCCATAATGGTGTCCATAATGGGGGCCCAGGCACCTCTCCAATAGGGAGACTCTATGTGTCCATTATGGATACCCTTATGTATTGTGCTATGTACCCGTAACACAACCCTTAAAAAAGCATTATTCTATAATTAAAGTTGAATGAATCATGGTACAGTGTCATAGAAATTGACATAATAATTAACATTATGTCACATGTCATTCTATTATTGAACTGTTTAAAATACGGTAAGTTTTTCATTCATTTATATCTTACCAAAATCCATTACGTCAAAGCATCTGTCAACATCTTCCTGACAAAGTGGTTTTACCTAAGTTGAACTCAAGATTAAATCTAGACAACTCAAGTTTTAATAATCAATTTTTACTTAAATTTAGTCGATTCTCAATTTTTTAATCGAATTAGTTGACTCGAACCAATTTTCAATACATTGCATTTTCAATTTAAAGATAAAAAAAATAAAAAAAAATTGAAGAATGGGCTTCAAATTAATGACTCCATGTGAGTTAGTGACTAATATATGAAATTAACAATTTAAAATTTCAAAAAATAATATTTTCTGTAACATTAAATTTGCAGCACATGCATTGAAATCTTGAAATTAGTGCTACCACTTTAGTATTAGTTGGAAAAAGGAAAAACAAAACTTTCATAAATACCATAATAAGACAACCTATATGAATTATTACTTGAACAAAAAACGGGCACTATATTAATATTATTCGTTACATGAATGGTGGGGCTATGCACGTATTACATATGGCTCAAAAGGATAATACTCTACCATACAAATCAAAAGAATTAACACGAACAATACTGATAAATTGGAGTAATGCTATTTATCAGCACTAATGTTTAATACCAGTCTATGTGGGTGTACGGATGACATTAAATTATAGTTTCAAGTAAATACAAAGAATTATGACATATTTAATTAAACTTAATATTAATGGTGTTAGATAGTATTATTTGATAAATGGAGGGCACTCCCTTTTTATATGGTTGTATCATTAACTTTAGGTGGTGTCCACCAAATCCAAAAATGTCCAGGCCACCACCAAACTAAATCAAATGCAAAGACTCTTGAATTTTAACTTTAATTTCCATACACACGAAAGGAATCTGAGACTTGTCTCCAGAGCTTGTTGCCACCGACATGCATAAATTTTCTAGCCACATGGTTCTTAAAAAATCCAAATTTTTGTTACGTGTATGTACCATCTAATTCATTTTACGTAACATACCATTGAAAAGCATAAATTAAATTAGTCAAGAAGAAGTTTTAGTGCGAAAAACCTGAATAGTGAAAACGGATAATGGGGCTCCCATTTTCCAGTTCTTCTTCTGCGGAGGAATGGCTGATTGAAGTAGGCAAACCATGGATTCCCATTGATTTCGATTTACTGAATCCCCCACGAACAAAAGCTTCTTCCCCCTCAGTTTTTCGAGCAACAATCTCGCCTTGAATCTCGCAAAACCAATACAAGATTGTTTATAACCGCAGTTAGGGATAAACCCCGCTCCACTTAAAACATGTTAACAATAAGCAACATACAAGAATTTGTGCTGATTCTTGATAAAGTATATTTTGTACACTTATCTAGATGCCTTAAAAGAGCAATTCAATCTGTCCAAAGCGTTCTCATCAAACGATTAAAAGTAAAAGCCCATTAATACCAAGACTCAAGAAAAACACACACACACACACGCACTCTCTCTCTCTCTCCCTCTCTCTAGATCTCTCAATCTCTCAATATATGTACACATATATACACACTTACTTGGGCAAAGAACAATCTTTGGGCTGCCATCTCCAGTTCTGGTACGTTTTATCTGGCCTTCCATTTCTGATACAAGTCAACTGTGATGTAAGAAACCCACATTCTTCTTCTTTGTATAAAGGGCGCGTGAGATTATCAAAAACCCATTTTCCTTTAGACAAATCACAGCTGTCAGATGGCAATTCAATCTCTTCATCAACATGATTTTCATCAAGCCCTGAATTGATATTCCTTTAGACAAATCACAGCTGTCTGATGGCAATTCAATCTCTTCATCAACATGATTTTCATCAAGCCCTGATTTGATTCCATTTGTCTGTGTTTCTTCTTCACGCAGTACTGTCTGGTTTATGCGATTTTCAGATGGGAATTTTTTAGGTTCTTGAAAAAGTTGAAAATCAGGAAACTGTAGGGATATTTTAGCAATAAACGTTATTTCTTTGGTGAATATAAAAGCTCCGGAAATCAATAATAATATGATGAATACTATGATAAATGGTGAGTTGTTACATATTTTTCTGCTACTTTCCTTGTACTTCATTGATAGAAGACTGTGTGGCTATAGAGAGAGAGAGAGTAAAAATATTAAGGTCTTATTTTCTATTGAATGGTTAAGGTTAATGACTTTGATAGATAAGTTATTGAAACAAAATATTTATTTAGTGGGTGCAACAACTTGTATGGTTTTTTATTTGGTTAGGTTTGTGGTTAATAATTTCTTATGCTGGGGTCCAATGCCCTCTGTGAAATGATATGCACAGTTGTATATGTTTGAATTAAGACGATGGACACGTGCTTCTTAGTACTAATTCAGATAAAATAATTTGTTTATAGTTTAAAACTATTGATCGAGGAATTAAGATGGGTGTACCGAAATTGCTTCACAGAAGGTTCACATAAAATTTAAAAGTGGTTAGGTGGCAGCCAAGAAAAGGAAAAAAAAAAACAAAACAAAAGGTGGGTGAATTAAAGTGGGAACCGTGTACACATTTCCGCCAAATTATCCAATTACCACATTTTCTCCCAAATTATACAGTTCACCTCTTTCACCAAGCTCCTTTCAACGGCTACACCCATTTTCTCACCCTGAACCCATCCTTTCCATCACCGGCTAAACAATTGGGGCCACACTGTAAACCCCGAGTCCCCCGTCTTCCACGGGGTCTTTCCATCCTTTTTCTTCTTTTATGTTGGTTATGAGGCATTTTTCTAGTGAACTTACTCCTGCCCCTTTTGGTTATTGAACTCTTT